AATTCAAGCCAAAACCACATACGGACCTCCAAATCAATATTCGGACACACTCCTAAACTAAAAACACCATACGGAGTCATCTGAACCATCAAAACTCCATTCTAAAGTCAATTATACATAAGTCAACATCCGGTCAATTCTTCAACTTAGGCTTCCAACCTTGGGACTAAGTGTCCCAATCCATTCCGAAACATCTCTGGAAGCAAACCGACCTCCCCGTCAAGTCACATAACAACAAATGAGAATAGAATAAGCAATAAATGGTGGAATGAAGCTACAATACTCAAAACGACCGGCTGGGTCATTACATTGTTACTATTGGAGAAAGGTTCTATCACACAAGAAGTTCAGGAACAACTAAATCTCTGTTAGAAAATTTGGGAGAGTAAGACAATACAAAAGAACAATCAAAACAAATAATAAAATAGAGGAAAGGATGATTTTTATTCAACTTAACTTTCTCCAAATGGCTAGAAATATATGGCTACTTATATGAGAAATCTTTCATGTATCTAGCCTACACTATATATAAATATAATAACTAAGTCCACACCTCACGTCTTTCAAGGTACATGGATGACACTACTAGACATTGTATCTTCCAAAGTACATCAATGTGTTCATACTCTAATATATGTACTGAATTAATATTCTAGTTCATGAACTAATGTAAACGAATGTAAGCAAATGGAAACAAGTTTATATTGTTCACATTTCAACATCTCCCCTTAAACTTGTTTCATCACTCCAATAGCCATTCTTAGCTTTTGAAAGAACTCATTCTTCAACGGCTTGGTGAAAATATCCGCAATTTGGTCTTGTGACTTCACGTGCTCAAGCTGCATAACTTTATTTTCATGTCCTTCAACCGTGTAGCCCAAAGGTTTATCAATGTAAATCTCTTCCTCCAAAACACCATTTGAGAAAGTCGACTTCATATTCATTTGATGAATTTTCCATTGATTTTGAGCTGTCAAAGAAATAAAAAAAACAAATTGTTTCCAAACGAGCAACCGGTGCAAATACCTCAACATAGTCAATACCGGCCTTTTGATTATATCCCTTGGCAACCAATCTTTCTTTGTACCTTTCCACCTTACTCTTGAAATTTTTCTTCAACTTGTACACCCATTTGACACCAATGGTGATTTTGCCTTTTGGAAGTATGGCAAATTCCCAAGTATCATTCTTCCTTGATTTCTTCATCCATAGTATCTCTCCATCTGGCATTTTGGTCAGCATCTTTATAAGTTAAAGTTTCACTATCCACCAACAAATAAAAGTGAGTCAAATCATATAAATCTTTTCTTACCACTTCCGTATTTTCATACAACTAATAAAGACTTTTAGTTTTCTGAGGCACTTCACTTGAAGAGCTTGAACTTGGCTCATCTTCTTCTCGAACTTGTGCTAGAGATGTTGAAGGTGTTGTGATAGGCTGCTCTGCAACTTCTTCATCATGATCTTCATGAAATAAAGGACTAAAAGAGTAATCTTGCTCTTTAGTTTTCCATTCCCTAACATTATCTTCATCAAACCCAACATCTCTGCTTATGGTGACCTTGCCATTTCTTAGGTTATATAATTTATAACCTTTAGAACTTTGATCATAGCCAATGAAAACATACCTCTCACTTTTATCATCAAGCTTGGATCTCTTCTCACCCGTCACATGTGCATATGCAATGCTCCCAAAAACTTGCAAATGAACAACTTTTGGCTTGAAACCACTCGAAGTCTCTTGAGGTGTTTTGTCACGAATACTCTTGGTGTGACACCAATTTGACAAATACACTGCACAAGCAACTGCTTCAACCCAAAACTCCTTTGGCATATTTTTGCTCTTCAATATACTCCGTGCCATGTTGAGAATAGTCCGGTTCTTTCTTTCCACGAAGTCATTTTGTTGTGGTAATTTTGGAACAGTCAAAAAGTGACGAATTCCACTATTTTCACAAAAAATCTTGAATCATTTGAAGTGAATTCTCCACTATTATCGGACCGCAATGACTTAACTTGATAGCCACTTTGTTTCTCCACCATGCCCTTGAATTTTTTTAAAGTATCAAACACCTCGGATTTCACCTTCAAAAAATACACCCAAGTTTTTCTAGAAAAATCATCAATGAAAAGTAAAAAAATAATTACTTTTATCAAGTGAAGATGGCTTGATTGGTCCGTACACATCCATGTGAATCAACTTCAATGGGAATCGGGTTCTAGTCAAAGACTCTTTAGGAAAGCTTTTTATTGCTTGCTTTCCAAAGAGACATCCTTCGCAAATTTAGCTCGGATGATCGATAGTTGGCAATCCATTCACCATGCTTTCTTTTTTCATCAACCTTAGATTATCAAAATTCACATGACCAAATCTCTTATGCCAAAGTAAAGATGAATCTCTGGTACATGAAAGCAAACACCTTGGAACATCACATTGAAGGTTCAAAATAAATATTTTATTATTAGCCATAGGAACTTTGGCTAACAATCTCTCATTTTTATCTCTCATGACAACTTTTTATCTTTCAAATGAATATCATAATTTTTCTTCAAAAGCTGTCCCCAAACTTAAAATATTACTTCTCATCTCCGGTACATACAAAACATTAGAAATTAATTGGTGACTACCATTTTTCAAGCAAATTAAAATCGTTCATTTTCCTTTGATTTTAACCCGCGAAAAGTCTCCAAAAGTTATGTTGTCACCGTTCAATTCTTCAAGATCCACAAATAAATTCTTTTTTCCACAAATATGGCTACTTGCACTGGAGTCAAGGTACCATTGACTTCTCTTTATACTTTCTTCTCCTTTGTAAGCGAGAAGTAAAGTGTCATCTTCATATTCATTTATGCTCTCCACAAAGTTAATTTTTTTCCTCCATATTATTTTTACATTCCCAAGAAAGATGACCAAATTTATGACAAGTATAACATTCAATATTAGATTTATCATACCTTCCTTGATTTTGCCTTCATCCTCTACCTCTTCCATGACATCTTTCTTGATTAGAGTCTTGGCTCCTATTTTCTTTATTTGGTGGTTGGCAACCACCTCTTCCTTTTCCACCACGACCTTGTCCACGTCCACGACCTCTTTGTTGCGAGCCACGCCTTTCGTCTTTCTCCTTGAAAGAAAGTTTTGCTTGCAATGCTTGTTCAACCAATTCTTATTTTGGTTTCTTCAACTTTTCTTCATGTGCTTGCAAAGAACCCGTGAGTCCTTCAATGGTCATGGTATCCAAATCTTTGAACTCTTCAATAGCCACAATAATATAATTAAATTTTGAATCAAGGGACCGTAGTATTTTTGCAACGACCCTATCATCACTCAAGTCTTCACCATATCTCTTCATTTGATTGACAATAGCCAAAACTCTTGAACTATAATCCGAAACGGATTCTTATTCCTTCATATGCAATGATTCAAACTCTCCTCTTAAGGTTTGGAGATGAACTCTTTTCACTTTATCCAAACCTTTAAAGGAAGTTTGAAGAAACTCCCATGCCTTCTTTGAGGTGGTTGCATTTGCAACCTTCTCAAACATCTTGTCATCCAAACTTTGATGGATGAGAGTGAGCGCCTTTTGATCTTTCTTTTTAAAGGCAGCATCATCTTCCGCTCAATCATCTCCGACTTCCACCGGTTCCCAAACATCATAGGCACCAAGCAAGGCCTTCATCCAGATACACCAATTTCTATAGTTCTTTTTTGTGAGCATAGGAACTTGAAATGGAGTTCCATTACTATTTGTTATTTTCTCTCCAAGTTTGGTTGTCTCTCAAATATACCGGCTCTGATACTACAATATTAGAAAATTTGGGAGAGCAAGACAACATAAAAGAACACTCAAAACTCACAAAGAAGAAAGTGGAGGAAAGGATGATTTTTATTCAACTTGACTTTCTCCAAATGGCTACTTATAAGAGAAATCGTTCATGTATCTAGCCTACACTATATGTAAACATAATAACTAAGTCTACACCTCACATCTTTCAAGGTACATAGATGACACTATTAGACATTGTATCTTCCAATGTACATCAATGTGTTCATACTCTAATACATGTACTAAATTAATATTCTAATTCATGAACTAACGTAAACAAATGGAAACAAGTTTATATTGTTCACATTTCAACAATCTCTTCACCCAAATTATCTAAGAGGCATAATAGGGAATAGGAACTTCGTATCAATGGAAGTACAAGGAGTGCAAATAGAGGTGGCCAGGTGGTGATGTGCAGAAAGAACAAGAATGAGGAAGGGAGATGATAGTGACCAATGAGTAGGGGTGGCTAACGGGCGGGTTAGGTCGAATATTGCGACTCGAAAAAGAATAGTACAAAAACAGATGAAATATCTTATCCGACATGTATTTAATACGGATAGAAAATGGGTAACCAGATAATATGTATATCCATATTATCCATGACTTCTTGATTATGATTACTTTTGAAAGAATTCTTGGTCTCTCAAACTTTAGGAACTCCCAATTTGAGTCTTTGCAAATGTAAAAGTTAAATTCATTAGTTATCCATTTTTCAAGTGGATAATATGGATCTTATCGATGTTTGAGTTATTTTTAAAAAGTTTATTATCCAACCTATTTTTTAGTGAATAATATGGATAGATAATTGCCACTACTATCAGTGAGGGACTAAGAATGCTCGTAATTTGTAAACTCAAAGGATGGTTTCTGAGAGAGTATATGGACAATGTTTTCCGATCTATAAGAACCATGTTAGACCAACCTTGAAACTTGAGAAACCCTTTGAGCCAGAAATTCCAGTTAGAACAAATGTTCCAATTTTATAGCATTTATAGTGATTGGTGAATTGTGCATTTCTCTGACTTGGAATCCAGCATCCAATATTTTCGCAAGAAAAAAAGAGGAAAGTAACTGCTCAAGGCGTTCTACATTGGCTAAAATGATGGCTTTAAAACAGGTTATAATGGTGCAAATATGATCTTTCGATCAAACGAGATACGAGATGTGAAATGCAGACATAAGTAGCAATCGAATGCGTATATATTCAATAAAGATAAGTAGCTAATACCTGCTAGTTAGCAGTATATCGAGTATGCAATAAGATACTTCAGAATGCTGCTTGAACTAACAATTTTTCATATTCTAGTACTATTTAATGATGAATATTAAATCCATATAAACACCAGGATCGGAAGTGCCGCTAATGCAGTTAAGGTACGCGGCACTCTGCAATATTCCAGATCTCTTTTGCATATTGAGAAATTGTACGGTCACTACTAAATTTGCCACTCCCAGCGGTGCTCAGTATAGACATCTTTATCCATCTTCTCCTGTCCCTGCAGGGTAAAGGACACAAACATCGTTAGCATATTTTGATACAAATTGAGGAGAATTTCCTCCCAAACTTCTGACAGCTTAGGTGGGCGTAAAAGGTCGTCCTTTTCAATAAGAACTGAAATCATTCATCATAAGTGTGGAATGAACAAACTGAATCTATGTATAATACTCGAATGATCATGGATCGTCATTACCAAAACCAATATCACCAGAAATGAGCCTTAAGATATCTGGTAACAGTGTCTAAGGGGAACTTCAAAACCTACCGGAAGAAATACTTGCTTTATTTTCTCTCTTTCCTTTTTTTCACTTGCTAAGTACATCAAGACAACGAAAAGTTGATAAAGTTATAGGCAGAACAATGTTTATCAAGTCTTCCTAGGTAAGAATATCTGAAATTATGTTCTCCACAGAAATTTTGATTCATCATGTTGTTTTTCAATCGTTTGCAAGTGCATATAAGTCCAGCATTTTCACCCCAAACGACTTCTTTGATCTTTCTGACCAGATCTATGTCAATAGCAGTACATGCATATTAAGTTTACTTCATAATAAGGCAAGCTCAAAGAGGGAATCCAGTTCCACGTAAAGAATAACTCACAGCAGGATATTTTGGTGGAACACAAACAGTTCAAAGTTAAGTAGAAGATCTTACTTGTAAGCTTCATCTACTCTTGCCTGAGCATCCATGTAGCTCGGAAAATCATGGCCAACAAGAAAATAGTCACCACGACCATAGCCAGAGTTCCCTTCTAGCGACTCAAGGAGAGGATTATAATCATAGGTCCCAAATGCTCCACTCCTTATAAATTGCTTGGCCTCTTCAAACCGAGGATCAGGTTTGAACTGGCATAATTAGGATGAGAAAGCTAGTTACTGGCGCTACTTGCTCTGATGGGAATATAACAAACAAGTGTATTCTAGCGCATATGGGGTGAGGGGTGAAAGTAGTACTTCAACTGCAGTAAGCACAGCCAATACACTACAGAAATAATATTCCTTCTATGTATTTTGGGCTGGTCCAAACAGAAGTATCTTCCATGAGAAAAGAACTTCGTCTAGTACTGTTCCTTGCGACTTAATTTGAGGAACTTTCACAGTTTTCTATCATGGGAGGAAGTAAGTCATATCATTACAAATTTCTTTGACCTACTGATTCTCTCAAGTCAAGCTAGGGCTGAAATTGAGAGGACCTACTAATGAAGTAATCTGCTAACTGCAGAGATCTCTACAGAAAAAATATTATCCTTTTCAGCACATTAAATCTTGAATAAACAGCAATCAGTAACATGGTCAGTGGAGAAACCAAGCACTCTAGAATAAGACAATTTGGAACCAATACAAGGAAAATTTATTTGTGGCACACCAGTTAAAATCCAGGACACAGGGCAAAATGAGTAGGCTAATCAGGTGCTGAGTTATAAATTAGTAGCACGGCTATGAAAATAATATACTTTTTTAAAGCATGAACTATGAAAATAATATACTGTAGGTGCTAAAAGATCTAAACCAGCAATATGGCTGACGAATCAACTTCTACTGTAGAGTAAATACGATATATTCTTAGAAGAATACCAGTCCATCCTCTCGTTCTTTCCGCAGTCGGGGAACTTCATCAGCTGTTGCACCAAAAAGAAAGAAGTTTTCTTCTCCAATTTCCTCCCTGATTTCCACATTGGCTCCATCTAGTGTCCCTATAATAAGGCATCCATTAAGTGCAAATTTCATGTTGCTTGTTCCACTTGCTTCCATGCCTGCAGTACTGATGTGTTGTGATAGCTCACTTCCCGGAATAAGCATCTCTGCCACTGATACATTATAATTGGGAACGAATACCACCTGAAAAATCAGCCAACCTCCTGTTAGTCCAAAAAAAACGTACTGACATAATGAAAGTGACAAAGTGCACGCTAAATACTGTCTCGAGTGAAACTTAAATTAGAGGACAACATCCGCACTAAAGCACGAATTGTAAACATGTCACCTGTGTGCATCAAATTAAAATAATTGTTGTTCGGAATAAGAATTAATTCTTATTCCCCAAGTTAGATCTTTGAAAAGAGAAATAGTCGGAAAAGCTACTATATTAACATAGCACTCTTAGCTGAAAATGGGAGACTACAAACGCGTAAGATTTCACCAAGGCAAGAAAACTGAAAATGTGCTGGTTAAAGATCTACCAGAATTTACCTTTTGTAAAGCACATAACTAATAAAAACGACAAATTCAATCTAAATTCAGTTGGAACTCTCCGACAGATTATATGAATCCGGCCCCTGAGCATGACCCATTACAACTTCTAAACGGGGGAAGTTACATCTATCAAGGAAAAAAAGTTCCTAAACCAACAACTGCCTGGTTAACAGAATTACTAAATGCTAAAATAAGAATATAAGCATCAGCGCTTTACACTCAATAGACAATACAGTGTGCAAGTTAAACACATTCAGGAAACTACTTCTAAAAATAAATTTTATTAAATAAAACAGGGCCAATTTACAGAAAATGAAAAGAAAAACACGCGCACACACACAAAGAGTTTACAATACGCCCTTGCAGGAGATATACCTAACTTGCCATACATCAGTATCATTAAAAGGCACATACCATCTCTAGAAGGTCATTTGATTTATAAATAAAACAACAAGTAATATTTGGTCAGAAAAGAATCTAATGCTCTCCCTACTTGGTGGATGACACATGATTTGAAAGAAGGGGCAACGTATGCAGGACAAATAGTAAAGAAGATTTCGTAAAAATTAAGCTGGGACAGAACGATACATGCACACAGACATTTTTGATATATCAACTTTTCTTGGGGCAAAACTGTCTTTGAAGGTATTTATGAAAATTATTAAAACTTCAAAAGGTAAATATTAGAATCTATGTAGATATTCTAGAATATTGGAATTATAGTATAGGATTAATTAGTGATGAGTTACTTCCTGTTACTCTTGATTATCTTTCTTTTCTTAGAACATGTAACCATAACTATTTAAACCCTATTACATTGAGGGACTAATCAAGTTGAGTTCTCTCTCAAACTCTCTTCTTTCTATACCCTAGACCCTACACCCTAAGTTCACAGGTGAAGTGCTATCTCATCCTGGATCGCGACAGGCTATGATCGAAAAGATGTCTGCTTTACATGCTAGTGGTACTTGGGAGTTTGTTCCTCTACCTCCAAGTAAATCTACCCTTGTCGACGGGTGTATCAGTCAAAGTTGGTCTAGATGGTCAAATTAATTGACTTAAAGCATGTCTTATTGCCAAAAGGTTATACTCAGATATTTGGGCTTGATTACAATGATACTTTCTCCCCCCCTGACAAAAATACCATATGTCCGTCTTTTTCTATCCATGGTTGTTGTTCGCCATTAAACTCTTTATCAGTTGGACATTAAGAATGCTTTTCTCCATTGTGATCTTAAGGATGAAGTATAGATGGAGCAACCGCCTGATTTTGCTGCTCAGCGGAGTCTAATGGTCTTGTATGTCGGTTGTGTCGATCCTTATATGGTTTGAAATAGTCTCCTAGGGCATGATTTGGTAAGTTCAGCACGTTCATTCAGGAGTTTAGTATGACTCGCGGTGAGGCTAATCATTCTGTCTATCGATATACTGCTCATAAGTTGTGCATTTATTTGGTCATTTATGTTGATGATATAGTCATCACGGGCAATGATGAAGATGGTATACTTAAATTGAAGCAACATCTCTTTTAGCATGACAAAGGACCTAGGTAAATTGAAGTATTTCCTAGACATTGAGGTCGCGCAGTCTAAATCAGGAATTTTCATCTCACAACGTAAGTATGTCCAAGACATTCTTGAGGATACATGTATGACACGCTGTAGACCCATTGACACTCCTACGGACCCCAGTATTAAACTTCTACCACGACAGAAAGAGCCCCTTAGTGATCCTGGAAGGTATGGCAGCTAGTTGGTAAGTTGAACTATCTCACACTAACTCGACCTGACATTGACTTTCCTGTGAATGTGGTAAGCCAGTTTATGGACTCTCCATGTGAGTCACTAGGATGCAATTGTTCATATTCTTCGATACACAGACGTTGATTAGGCAGGTTCATCTTCTGATAGACGGTCTATGTCTGGATATTGTGTGTAGGAGGTAATTTGGTGTCTTAAAAAAGCAAAAAACAAAATGTGGTTGCTCGATCTAGTACAGGAGCTGAATACCGAGCAATGGTTGTGGCAACTTACGAACTAATTTGGATTAAACAGTTGCTCAAAGAATTGAAGTTTGGAGAAATCAGTCAGATGGATCTTGTGTGCGATAACCAAGCTGCCCTTCATATTGCATTAAATCTCATATTTTAATGAGAGAACTAAACACATTGAGATCGACTGTCACTTCATTTGGGAAAAGATACTCTCAGGATATATTGTTACGAAATTTGTAAAGTCAAATGATCAGCTTGCAGATATTTTCACCAAATCCTTCACTGGTTCTCGTATCAGCTATATTTGTAACAAGCTTGGCACATATGATTTGTATGCACCGGTTTGAATGGGAGTGTTAGAATACATATTCTAAAATATTAGAATTATAGTTTATGATTAGTTAGTGATCAATTAGTTCCTGTAATTATGTACTCTTGATTGTCTTTCCTCTCTTAGAACATGTAACCATAACTATTTAAACCCCATTAGCTTGAGGGAAAAATCAAGTTGAGTTTTCTCTCAAACTCTCTTATGTAAGATTTTAGTTTTGAAGAAGTTTTGGAGTTGGGAGACCCCTCCTTAAATCCTCATGTACATATAGTTAAACTGCTTACCTTCAAATAATTATTGATGTCAGGGTCACTGTTGATAACGTCGCCAACATCAGTCACCAGCTTTACAATTCTTTTTGCATTTGTATATGTTGCAAATGCTTTTCCTCCAATCATGACCGTGCGAGGAGTCGTATTATTCCGCTCTTGTGGGCTCATTTCCTGTAGTTTATACAAGTATAAAAATCTCATTACATTCTAAAAGTAGAATATCCCATTCTTGCATCATTTCAATAATCTCAAGATTTCATCATGTGCAGAAGAGAAACCACATGAGTAGAAATGTTTAAATCATTTATGCTTTATATTTTTACTTGTTAGATCATTGCTAGCAGTGATAACTGTCTTGAACTCTTAAGGCTGCTAACAAGGAGAAATTAACAGATAGTGGAAATTTGGCAGTTTCACGCACCTTCAGCCTCTTGTATCTGTAGACGACACCCAGAACATTAAGAAGCTGCCTTTTGTATTCATGAATACGCTTGACTTGTATGTCAAAAAGGGTATCTGGGTCAATGCTCACACCTGTCACTCGCAGAACATACTGTGCCAAACGCTGCTTGTTGGCCATCTTAGCCGATTCCCATTCAGCATGGAGTTCTGCATTGTCAGCAAACTTTGCAAAATGTATAGTCAATAGTAATATCATCATGATTGGTAAGTTACTAATTACAAAAAATAGCAATATCATGGCCTACATGAAGAATTTTCAATGAAAAGGTTTAAAAGTATGCAAGCTTTCCAGAAAGATATTTTATTTAAATACCTCCCGAAGATTAGCAAGCAGTTCGAGGTTCGTCACCCACTGATCTGTTTTTAACCACTTGGTGATTATATTACTCAGCTCTGGACTACAAAAATGGATCCATCTACGGGGAGTTATACCATTGGTCTTATTCTGGAACTTGGTGGGCCATACAGAGACATAATCAGCAAATAACTCAGCCTTGAGGATGTCACTGTGCAGCTTAGCAACACCATTCACCTGCAGGATATGGCTAATGAATTTATGCTTCTCTTTAAAATTCCATAAGAACTTTGACAAGGAGGAAGACTTTTATATGGAGATTCTTATCTTTGTTCTAATAAGTAAAGACTTGATGAATACTTTATTGTTGATAAGTTACTCTTCAAGTCTTTGCTATCAACACTATGTAATTTTTTTTAATCTGTTGATAAGTAAACACTTGAAGAATAACTTAAATGAAAAAAGCTAAGTAGCTTAATGTTATCAGCTTTTCCAAACTTTTGGGGTTGGTTAAAACTGAAAGATCAACGGTAGTGTGCAGCTCCAGGTCATGCATATAAAGTGCATCAATAAATAAAAGCCGGGGTATTTTTAGAAGGTCTTCTATAAGTAGTAGGATTTTTATTTTAGTTTACATGTACTACGACATGCAGTTAGAATAAATCAAAGAATGTTCTACATGAAAAAAAATATATAGATTATAGAATGGATATCCATCATGTGAATAGATTAAAGTACTCAAATCCCAACTATGAGCGTACCCATTCACTTTTACCTGGAGTTAATTTATCAAACTCTCAGGTGCATCACAGGCAAATAAATCTCTTACCGTATGCGAAGAGACAACACACAAGTTAGCCATACGCACAACAGGCTTCTGTGCATTGTGATCCAAAATGCGCATGCTAGGAATCTTATTCTCAAGATCGGGTCTTTCTGACTGTACTGAAGCAACAAACTGCAAGGAATTTCAAATACTCTTCTAAGTAAGCTATATTTTCAAGTATGGGAGCAATTTGCATGATTTGATACCCGTCTATCAATTTCTTCAATGATTTCCATATGTCGAGGTAGGAGTTTCCACATGACTGCTTGCGACCATTTCTCCAGTGCTTCAGGTAGGACTGTATGATTTGTGTAGGCAATTGCCCTAGAGAAGTAATGTATTACATCATCCCATCCATAAACTTGCAAAGATACCGGACCAAGACAAATCAAACAAAGGAACCATATTCGTGTTTTACTCATGAAGGAGCATCCAACTAGGCAAAAGAAAATTTTATAAAGCACCTCGTAGTAATACCCCAAGCTTCATCCCACCCAAGTCCTTCATCATCCATTAATAACCGCATCAGCTCTGGTATTGCAAGAGTTGGATGTGTGTCATTTAGTTGTATTGCGACCTTCTTGGGAAATTCAGACCAATGGTGAGCTCCCTTTCCATCTTCTCTCTCTTTGAATCTGGCAATAATATCCTGATGTTGACCCAACAGTCAGTTAGCAGACAGCTACGTAAAAAGAAGAAAGTAAGACATGTCAAAACAACCAAATATCAATTAACATCTAGGTCAAATTAAAAGCCAGTTACCTGGCTGTAAAGAGCTGTTAAAGTTGATCAAAGGCATACAACTATTAAGAACTGAAATATTATGACAAATTGGTTTATTGGAGACTGAAACTCTTAAAAGTTAATGGATGCTAAACAGTGTTCGACGGATATCATCTGTTGGCTTGGGTTAGAAAATGGTCTGGTTCTGGTTTGGTTTTGCTTTTGAAAAACAATTGTGGGTTGTTGGGATCTGGTTATTGGACAATTTCTCCTGAGGTTGTGTTGAAAGGATTGTTTAGCGTCTTTTCTAGGGGTAATATCACTAGAACCCTAAAAGAAGCTGAGGCTTTCATATGATTAAAACAGGCTAATTCATAGATATTGCTTAACGTCTTTTCAGATTATTTCCTTAAAACGGGTTCAAGTGAAGCAAAATGGATATTGTAGTAGTAGTAGTTGTTGTTGTCATTGAAAAGAAAATGAATGTGCCAAGGAAAAAGACACGTTGGTGCCAAAATGCAATTTTTTTTTCCAAGATTTTTTATAGCACAAAAACATGGTTTCATTTGTTTCCATTTTATGTTTTGTTTTACAGCCTTACTTTTTCCTTTTTCCGGGAGAAATACAAGTTTCCTTTTTTACTCCATTTATTTTAGTAAACAAAACAATTTTCAGGATGCTCCTGAAACAAACACGAAGCTTCCGTCAAAACAAATTAGTTGAAGGACAGATGCCAATGCACAGTTCAACATGAAAATATAATGCAAGGGAAAAAGTGGCTCCTTAATATCCTTCCAATAGGCTGACTTCCTAAATAGCATAAAGGAGAAAGATATGGCATTTAAAGTGAGCAGAGGCAGGAAAGAGGAGAGTAAGGAAACTGTAAACCTGAAGCGATGCACTGCAAAGCAAAAATTGTTGCTTTAGTCGTAATAGTTTTCCATTCTCTGTAGCATCCCCAGGGTAAAGAACAGCACAAATCTGCATGAATCAATATTTGCCACTCAAAATCTCTTGAAACATGGGAAGCAAGTGTGTAGATACAGGTAAAGTGTTTCAATTCTCAGGGTTCAGCAAGCAACTAGCATTACAATATTGAACTTAATATTCAACTCCCTTATTAGAAAAACGGAACATTTATAGCTGCAAAGTGCTCTAGCAGACCTGCTGAGCCCTAGAATGAAGCTGTGCAGCAGATTCATACTGTCCATCATTAAACTGAAATAAGTTGAGATCCTCAGAGCTGGCTTTGGCATCCCAGAGACGAAGACTATTAGTGTTTTTAGTTCTGTATCCTGGAATTGGTACATCATATGCAATAGCCTGTATGACCTCTCCACCAACCCATTTTCGCCTGCAACATATTCCATGGATAATTAAGTTTGAAATTAGACAGCAGTATGACTTCTTGAAGTAAGAAATCAATCTGACATTTCTGTTTCTTCACGTACTTTACCACATATATAGTTAGTATTAGTACTTACGAGCCAGAAGGGTGGACCTCAACATCACCAAAAAACCTGACAGGAAAGACAACATCATGTCTTACAACTTCCCAGGGACTAAATTTCTGCAGGGTACATAACCAAGTTTGGTTACTAGCATACAATTCTCATGGTATTTAACAAACGCATTAATGAAATCAGACCTCCAACCAATCTTCAGCAACTTCTTCTTGCCCAGCCTTGGTGATAATCTGCTTAAAAAGTCCATATTTGTACCTCAAGCCATAACCCCATGCTGGCAAGTTTAATGTGGCCATGGAATCAAGAAAGCATGAAGCAAGCCTTCCTAAACCACCATTTCCTAATGCTGCATCTTTTTCCTACAAATGAAAGATAAATTAAATGTCACATCACTTTCCAGTGGCACTAACAGAAATAAGGCTCTTGAAGTGACACAACTACATTTCAGAAGTAGCCAACCAAAAGCTCACACAAAAGGTTCGAAAAATTGTTGATTGATTACTAACAGATACAGAAAAGGGAGAAGGCTGAGGATAACAGTATAGAATGATTGCAGTGGACGAATCACAATCCAAAGTTGATATTTGCTTATGTCTTCATCCAGCAAAATCCACAATTGACAGGGTAACTATATCACTATAACGTGGAAGACTTATAGACTTAGGGGAGAGAAATCCTTTCACCCACTCCATCCAGCCTTCATCTAAAACCCGTTCTTAAGGAAACCTGGGAAATAGACCATCTTACGCAATACATAGAAATAAAGTTCACAACCCACTATGCAGTCATCAATGGTTCCTCCTATTGGTATCAGAAACATAGTTGTTGTTCAGGCCCAACATTCACTGGAATGCATGTTGCCTCTAGAATCAAAGCACAACCTAATTTACACACANGTAGTATGTTTGCTTTGGATTAACTTTGTCATAATGAAGATAGGTGTCATTCCATTGCTGCAAAGGAAACAGACAAATAACAACATTGAGATTAGCGACAATCATTAATAGCACAAGAAATTTGCTGAATTTATGCTAGAAACCAAACTTTCATGCTCCCCGTCAACCGATTTACTTCTCTGTAGAAGAAGAGCGTGTATTCATATCCCTTAGTAGAACCCATACATCTAATCGTCAAAATCAGAATCAAATTATTTCGTTCATAGCAAGGTTCTCAATCTCAAAACATAGATCACCCAATGCATCTTGCATTTGATAGCCATACTAATATGTACAAGTATTGGAATCTTAAAATGCAGACAGCCACGACCGTCAAGTTAGCGACGTGTAGTTTAAGGTACAACTTATCTTTTTGTAATGGTATAAGGTCAACTGAGCATATATTTTAAATTGTTGATTAAATGAAAATCTCAAAATACAGAAAAATCTTCCATACAACGAGCTGAAAGTAAAAGAATGAAAAGTGTTGTGTTTCTATCTTATATGTGTGGCCTACTTCATTTATCCTTTTACGGTTTTACCTGATAGGTCGCATACATAGTAGACTCTCCACTTCATTTGCAGAGAATGCAAATAACATACATTTGAGAAGTCAGTACTTTGTGGCTTTTCCTTTCTTCAAATCAATTGTAAGTAGAAATGAATGAATGAATGAACTCACATTGATTAAGCGATCACGAACACTGTCAGCAGTAGCATAGTATGCTTGTTCAGGCTCAAACTTGGAAGGAGAAAAATGAGGAGTATAACGAGCATGATACTTGATGTTAGATGCAATCTCAGTTGGTTCTTCAGCCAGTGGTTGAGCAACAGCTGACACATCACTTATATTACCATTGAATTTTGCGCTACTAGTTTCCATGCTCATTTTAACCTATACAAGAGTGAATATATGAAATTATTATTTCCATTTTGAAAAACCAAAGAGATTCTTGAGTATCAAATTGTAAGTTGTGATAATAAAAAGTAAAGAATCATACGAGAGAATACCAGTCCAAGATTAAAGCTTTTTGCAAAGTAGTGAATATGGGAAAGACTGAAAGTGGAAGGTATTTAATGAAAAGAGCGATACAGAACAGAATATGCTTTGTTTACACAAAAGATATTTCTAAATTCTCAGAGAAAATGACAAATATTACAGAAAAGAAAAAGGAAAGAGCTCACCACAGTTTTCGTGGCGAAGATTATAGATCAATGGTCTGAAAGTGGGCCAAAAAATAAAAGGAAAGAAGAGAAAATATCAGAGGAGAAAGAAGGAAGGAGACGAAAGAGGGGTTATCTTGATTTAGACATAATCATGTGGAATGGACGGAGGAGAAGAAATGCAACTTTGGACAACTGACTATTGAGTGAAGTGAAAGGTTTGGAGTGTATCCGTCAATCTTCCTTTGCAACAAAAAAACTTCCCCACCCACTTTCTCCTATTCTCATAGGCCCCCCAAAAAAAACAAATATATATCTCTTGGAGTTGGGGATATTTTTTATTTTAAAATATAATAAAACGTGGTGCCTGTTATAAAATAAAGATAGTAAAGTAAAACAAGTATAGAGAGAAATTGATATATTATTCAAACTCTAAACTTATGTTCATAATGAACTGAAAACTCCTCTATTTATAGAAGAAAGGAAACAACTGCGAGGCTTTTCAGGAAGCAGCTGCAAGGCTTTTCTTTAGCTGCTTGTAAGCTGTCTGCATGAGCTGCTTGCAACCTGTCTATTTAATAAAAAGCTGCTACAAATTATTTTATTGAGCTGCTTGCAACCTGCCTACATCAGCTACTTGTAGATAAACTTCAACAGACTACTAAATAGATAATCTTCTTCATGAAGATTATCTATAGCGGAGTAATAAATGAACATCCACAATATAATTATTTTCATAACACTCCCCCTTGGATGTTCATTAAAAGATAATGTGCCTCATTAAAACCTTACTAGGAAAAAATTCTGTGGAAAAAAATCCTAGTGAAGGAAAAAGAGTACACATATTTAGTAATACGCATTGCTAGCTACCTCATTAAAACCCTTATAAGGAAAACTCTGTGGGAAAAAATCTTAGTAAGGAAAAAAGAGTACATCGTGTATTTTACTTNAGGACCATAAAATATCTAAACAGCTCACTTGGTGGGTGAATAGGTCCACATATATCCCCATGTACACGTTCTAAAAAGGTAGGGGATTCAATGCCAACCTTTATTGGTGATGATCTAGTGATCATTTTGCCTTGATAACAAGCATCACAAGAAAATTCATTATTTGTAAGAATCTTCAGGTTCTTTAATGGATGCCCACTTGAATTTTCAGTAATTCATCTCATCATTATTGATCCAGGATGGCCCAAACGGCCATGCCAAAGCACAAAAGTATTTGAATCAGTAAACTTCTGGTTTACGATAGAGTGTGCTTCAACTGTACTAATCTTTGAATAGTATAAGCCAGAAGATAAAGTTGGTAACTTTTCTACAATGCATTTCTGGCCAGAAATATTCTTTGTAATGCAAAGATATTCCACGTTCATTTCATCTAGTCAACATGATACCCATTTCGGCGGATATCCATAAAACTCAACAAGTTTCTTCGGGACTTGGAGGAGAATAATGTATTGTTTATAATAAGTTTTGTTCCCTTAGACAGAAATACAGTAGCTCTTCCGGAGCCTTCAATCAAACCTATATTACCGGAAATTGT